TATTAATTATGCTAGTGAATATAAAAATGGGAAGTACTTACATTACACTCAAAAAAAAAAGAAATGAAGATATTTAAGTCAGAAGGAACATCATGAACGCAAAGTGTTTCAGAATTTACTACCAATGTAATTATGACGAGTATAAGTTCGGGATTCCAAGAATATCAAAGAAAGAAATGACAACAACAACACAACTATCCTGAAACACGTTCATATTCTTGTCTCTACTGTTCCCAAATTCTTTTTTTTTTACTGATAAATCTATCAAGATTCTTTTTCTCTATGTTCAATGTAAGATTTTAGCCTAATTTGCAAGATCTTGCGAATTAGACACAAATCCGATCGACAGAATCTAGACTGACAAATTGAGAATATACTAGAACAAGTACATCATAACTAAACTGTTTTGTACGAGAAAGATGAATCATTGGATGAACGCAGTAACTCGATAAGCGTCTGCAATTTGTTTGTAATTTGAGTTCATGCTATTCATCCTTTGAGGTTAGATTAGATAATGCTGCACTGACAAGAGCTCTTTGTCGTTTCAGTAGTTTTGAATGATAAAACCTACGACATGTTGTAAGTCTTACTTTGAAGAATAGATGAACCAAATAACATTGTTCATTATTTAGTATCAACGAATATATTCAGACAGCTGATATACTTGAACAGCTAAAGCCACTCGTGGTGCACTCATGCTTCATTTGCTTGTTTAAAAATTTCTGATCGTCATCAAATTTTTGAGCTCAAATCAAAGATTTCTGTACCATTCGACGACTGTCGACTTATCGTACAAAAAAGAGAGAGGCCTTCGGACACAATATGCATTTTCATCTTGGATATCAAAGATAAGGATGAACTTCTCGAAACTAGATTACAATACACAGTTGCCATATTGAAAATCAAGATTTTGATGTATTTTTCTATTTTACCAGATCACCCTTATCTTGCTTTTCGCGGCCAACCACTTTACGAGCAGCAATCATTGATTGACTTAATCACTTGAAGAAAACGAAAAAATCTCATATTATAGGATGAAAACCTCTACTCATAGTACGGTTGATGAGTGATAGTAAGCAAAAACAAAAGAATTTCCTTTTCCATGAGAATAATTTAAAAGAAGATTTGTATTGTTAGACCAACGAACTCTTCTTATTTGACTATCGAAATCCTGGTATGATCTCGTTCGCCATATACTATAGTCATTGCGATCGGTAATGATCGCCTTGATTTAACCAATACTGCTTGAAATCGAACAATCAATTGGTATGGATAAAATAGACTACCATCTCAGAACACGTATGATTGAAACACAAGAGGTTATCACAATGCGAAAAAACAGAAATTCCAGTTCTGATAGTAATCTTGTGAATTGTTGACTCGAACTCATCAGACAAAAAAAGACTTTCGATGAGTCAATACAGGGTGTTGGTACGTCTGAGTGTCGGTTTTAAGAGAAGGCGTCAACATCAACCGTCGCACATGTACTTTTATCTATGAAGTCAAACTGATAAGTTACGCAGCGTGTTATTAAAAATTCTTATATTCTCTTTAATGCTATTTTCTGGGTGTAAGATTACCATTTATGCAATTCATTAGATTAAGCATTTTGTACTTTTCTTCGTATTACAAATTATTTTATAAGATTCAGAGTGTGGGTGTGGATGAAAAGAACATCCACACTCAGGACAATGTTTGTGTTATAAAAATCATTTCTTATTTCGTGAACGTATATGCCAATCTCGTTGTAGTGGAAAAATAATTGAGACGGTATATGTAGGTGTTCTCGGTTTCCAAACTCATATTCATAGTCTGCAAAACATTATTAGCAATAGTTCGATTCGTGTGAGAAAAATATTTTCGAAGTGATTCTTTTTGATATTAGAAAGACTTTAAACTTTCATCAGACATTTTTCTTTTAAATAGTATTGGCTTACGATTATTTGATTTTGATCATTTTCATCAAAATAGAGAATTCTATTTGAAGTCAATTCTATGTAGATACATAAAACAAAATTCATTTTACTTTAATATTATTAAGAAAAACTGCAAGTAGGAAAAACTTTTTCTTCTTCCTAATATCAGATAAAAATTTAATAAAAAAGGATTTTTTAAAAATATAACACATAATATTGATGATTTTCATCGAATTCTCATGAACAAATAAATGAAAAAGATGAAAATAATTTGATGAAGAGTTTTAAATGACAATGCATAATTATCAAAATAATTATTGTTAATAAAAATAAACATGTAAATGAATTAAATAATTTTTCTATTCATATTAAATACTATATTAATTAAACATTTAATTGAAATAATAAATCTTATTAATAATATTACTAATGATACAAATATGATATTGTCATTTAATAATGGCAAACTTTGATGCATCTTTTCCGATTATTGTCCGAGTTAAATGGCCGTGAGTATTTCTTGAATAACTTTAAAATAGAAAGAGAAAAGTAGCCCGAACTTTTCGTACTATCTAGAATCGACATTGCTTGATCTTTTTACAAAATCAATGAAAAATTCCAGTCGCTTTTCTTCGTGGACACACCATGGGTTTTAAAGTTCTGAAGGCTACTCACAACATTTTCTCACAATCTTAGCACCTAACATATATTGCTTACTATAAGTTTTTTAGTAGTTTTCATCTTCGTGGCATGATTTATTCACCTTTGAAGTTTTCTTGCCTACAGAAAACGTGATCGAAGAGTACTCGTTGGATGCTGCTGTGTGGGCGTGAGGTGTAGGAGTGGTTTGGGTATGAGTGTGAGCATAGACTTTGTTTTCTTTCTTCACTCTTTAGAAAGAGTTAGTACATTGAATCGCATAACGTCAGCCTGGATCAATATGAAAACATATGCGTGATAGAAACATCAAGTGTATTTTAACTGAAGTGAGCAAACTGATTACTGTAAAAAATAGGCGTAGTGTAATAAATCCTCACTATCCGTTTATGATCACGACATAAACCCCTTTTAGGTTTATGAGCGTAATCTACCCTTTCATAAACCTTTTTTTTCGTAAACCTTGGTAAGGATTTATTATACGTTGCAAATTCATATACTCTTGTACTGTTTGCTGTGCTTATAAACCCTTTTTTTCAGTATATGAATGCAATAAGCGCTCAAACAATATGAGACAATATTTAACAAGGTTGATATTTATGTTGAAGAGATAGAAAAAGAGCTAAATGATCATGATGATAATGATTATAAGACCTATACTGCATATGATACTGATGATTAATGACGATTATGGCGAATTTATGTGAGCATCTTTAAATTCTTTTCGGTTGATCGATCTAGATCCAGGAAATTATTCCAATTGAACAACATTACAATATAGGTTGAAGATAATTTTCTGAAGATGCTAGTTCATTATCTTCAAAATAAGTTCAATGTATAACTTTTGATAATATTCTTCAGTAGACAAACCATTCCGAAGGTGAATAAATCACGTCACGAAGATGACGGCTACTAAAAATTTATGGGTGTGGGTGTGGGTGTGTCATTTCATTAAAGACTCACACCCACACTCACCCTGTAGAAATCAGAACTTTTCGATTGCGTGCTATAGGATATGGCTTTCATGTCGTGGCACTTAAAGATAACAACGAATTTTGAAGCTACAGCAGCCTGTTTAGAAAACAAGAATAGGTTGAGACTAACGCGTGTTCTTCTAACTATTCATTTCAGACATATTCTGCATTCTTCAATCGTCTAGACACTCTTCTTTTGAATTCTATCGCTACTATGTTGCTACCCATCATTCTCATCCGTTACCAATGTATCCAATCACGCAAATAATGAATGCAATTACATTATAATACAATCTATTTCTTGCATTATAATGTAATTGCATCCATTATTTTCGTGTTCGGCTACACGGGTATTTTCTTTGTGTTAGTCATTTTCTGTTTTGTTTTGTTTTCTCGTTCCCAAATATTCCGCTAATCGCTCAGCATCGAACCATTCTACCAAATCTTCACACACATTTACGAGTTGAAAGAGTGATTCTTGCCGCTTCGTGTTAGGACAGAATCTCTTTCGTTGAATAGATATACCTTTCAGTATTTCTTATCGTGTCTCCATAGGCATATTGAGATATCGGGGTACGAGAGAGAGAAGCAGAAAATTTTCCGATACAGGCTTACGCCTACAATTTTCATCGTAAGTTCTACAGAAATGCTAAAAATAGTTCCATTTCATGATTAAATTCAGTGAGATCCACTTTAAAGAGTTCGAACGAGAGCACAACAAACATTTCTAACATTAAGTAGTGCATAGGCTATAGGAGAGAAACAAAAGAAAGTGTACCCTGTTTTATTTTACTAATAAAATGTCTGAATTTGGCCTCAACAGTAAATCGTTGTTTTTTCATAAAACGAAATAAAAAATATGCGTGCTAAAAGCCAAAATTTTCTGAATAGAACGAACCAATTTTGATGGGCATTAATTCGATTAGCAATAGGATTTAACCATTCATGAAATCATATTTCTCACTTGAATCTTGTAGGGATTACATTTCTAAATAGTGAGTGTAGGTTTCTCCATTTTACTATCAAAATATTTGCGTAAGGATTTTATTTGAAAATATCAGTGATTTCTCGCTCTTGAAATCAGAACACTTTATTTTAGAGTAGATTGATTTGAAACATGATTCTCCTACTAATTATTGCCGCTGTATGTTGTTCGTTGAGTTTGTCAACTTCGTTTTCGATACAACCCCGAGCAGATTCGTGTAACACTTACAATCATCCACAGTATGGTATCGGTCAGTGTATTGATATCAGTCAATGTCCGAATGCATTGTATATATCCGGTTATTGTGAATCCAAACCGGTCAACATTAAATGTTGTTTTTCCATCAATCAAGCACAAAGACAAGAATTTCGAGCCATTTGGATTGCTACTGCGAGCAATATTGATTGGCCTTCGTCGAAAACAGCTACGCCGGCCACTCAACAGAATGAACTTATCAATATTCTGAATATGGTCCAACGACTCAACATGAATGCTGTCATTTTTCAGGTGAGCTATAGTCAACATACTTATTTAACTGAAATTATTATAAAACGGTGATAGGTTCGACCTGCGGGCGACGCTCTCTATTCGTCGACACTCGAGCCGTGGAGTATCTACTTGACCGGTACGCATGGTATTGCACCATCACCCATATGGGATCCTCTCCAATTCATTCTGACTGAGGCACATAAACGCAATATTGAAGTGCACGCTTGGATCAATCCATATCGTGCTCGAATGAAAGGTGCAACGTATACTCCGGCTGCGACAAATATGGCTAAAAGATTTTCAAAGTATGCCTACACGTATGACAATCAACTCTGGATGGATCCAGGATCAAAAGACGTTCAACAATTTGTTCTCAAGGTTGCCGAAGATATCGTTCGTCGATATCCTGTCGATGGTCTGCATATTGATGATTATTTTTATCCGTACAGTGATGGTACCGAGTTTCCTGATTCAGCTACCTTCAGTGATTATCAACGACAAGGTGGAACAATGAATAAGGCTGATTGGCGTCGATCGAATGTCAATTTTCTAATTGAATCCCTATACAATCACACACATGCTATTCGACCTAAAGCTAAATTTGGTGTATCACCCTTTGGCATTTGGAAAACCGGTACACCAGCAGGTATTACCGGTCTTTCCTCGTACGATAGTCTCTACTGTGACAGTCGTTTATGGTTACAAAAAGGTTTTGTTGATTATTTAACGCCACAACTCTACTGGGCAATTGATCCACCTGCGCAATCCTACAGTGCTTTACTGAACTGGTGGGTAGGACAATCGACCAAAGGTCGTCATATCTATGCAGGTAATGCAGCCTACAGAATGAATCAGGCTACTGGTCCATGGGCAGTAACTGAACTCATTCGGCAAGTCAATATTACTCGAACAATGAGTAATCGTCTTGCACTTGGCAATGTTTTCTTTTCGACGAAACAGCTCATTCAAAATGTTAAAGGTATTCAAAATGAACTTGCCAAACTCTACACAGACAAGGCCATTTCGCCCAAGATGAATTGGCTTTAGAAGAAGAAACACGTCCATATTCACAAACATACTCACGTCCACACTCATATCCTCAACAAATCAGACACTATATTATCCATTGTTAATGACGTGTGAAAATCTAGAACGAAGAAATGTTTTGTTTCTTATAATGATTATATTTATTAATTTCGATTTCTAAGAAAAATGAATAAATTATCGAAATATATTGAAAATATGAAATTACATGTATGTAACTATTTTAGTGTTTCTGACCCATTTCCGTTCACGAAAGTACTGATTCTCGATATCATTTGATTTTTTGGCTAATATCAATCGATAGAGCGTAAGAAGCTGTAACCATAGAATGTCACTTCCAGCCATTTTGTCATAAAAGTCTTCGATAATAAAACAAAAAAAAACAAATCTTTTCGAGAGATCCACTCTCAGCCAAATCTTCCCAAGCAAATGAATATTTGAGGAAGAAAAGAAGATCCATCAAAGGCAATTGCCGATATATCTGAACTTACCTGACTTGTGAGACCACATTTATCATTTTTAAAGGTTAAACGTCAAAGCTTCATAACCAATATTATTGTTAAATCACGAAGTCAAATGCTCGACTATTGAAGTCATGGTCTGAAAAGTAGACAGTCTGAATATGACCTCACACGTTCGATAAGTTCAAATGTATCGATCTGTTGCTTTCGATATAGTGTGAACATGGCTAACAGGTACATACACACTATCGCACTATCAATCGCATCCATTTTTCCAGGAATATTTTTATCTACAGGTTTATTTATGATAGTTCTCGATATCATCTTCTTCTAATTTCGAATACCTATTTGATATATTGTAATTTTATTATTAATATATACTATTCGTACAACTTCATGATCGAAAAATCCATCTATTCATTGTATTATATTGTCCTTCCAGAACTACTTTATAGAAACTTGATGGATATTTTTGTATATCAACGATAATCACTTTTTCGTTTATGGGTACTGTTCTAACTAAATAATAATTGTCTGTCATACCATCTTTAAATAAATTTGTAGTTGATAACTACACTTTTACAATTCCTACAGGATCTAAAACTGTCCAACTAATGTTTAAACTAGCATTATGTAATTTGATATTCGGTTTTATTAATGAGACTTTGCCTATCAATGGTACTCCATCTAATTCTCGTTCAGATTCAATCGGAATATTGAGATCGATCCATCTTGCAATTGTTGGATATATATCAACTATGGCAGGTTCAAAATCATGAAAATAACTATTCATTTGTTGACTATTTGTTATTATCCAAGTTGTTCGTTCTCTATCGGACTGATAGTCATGTTCTTTGCCTGTTATAGAATCTCTGCCATGATCTGTTGTAATAATGAATAACCAATCTTCTTGATTATGTTTCATTCGATAATTGATAGCTTCCCAAATTCGCCCTATTTGATGGTCAGCATTCTTGACTACTTGGTTGAATTGTTCACTGTCTCCAAACTGATGCGCTACATCATCCGTATATTGTAAATAAACCCATGAAAGATCAGGCCCATATATTTTGATACATGCGAAAGTTTCATTTGTCACACGTTCATCGATATCAAATATATAATGGTCATCTAGATCATGAGGATAAGTAATATTGTCGAATTCGTATCCATCGAATTTGTAATCAAATGTAATATTGCCTGCGATGGCTACTCCATCGCCAATAAGTTTGATACGATTATCTGTCCACGTTGAGAAAATGGCAATCTTTTTATCAGAATATTGTTCTTTAAGAAGTCGAAAAATATTTTTGTAATGATAATTCGGATATTCTATATCATTGTCATACACATTATGTTTGTTAGCCCACGTACCAGTGAGTAGATTCATGTAACCAGGTGCTGAAATAGCAGGTGTTTGTGAATAAGTACCATTTTCACCACCAACATAAGCTCTTGTAAAACTTCCGAGTTCTTGAATCTTTTTCATGTTTGGAATTGATATATTTTCTATAATATCTGCAGGAATACCATCAACGATTATAAACAAAACTTTTCGGGACATCGATAATTTTTTATCTGGTCTTACTGCAATTTTAGCGATAATGACTGTTAATGCAATCACACCACCAATAAATATTGTGATTATAATCGCTAAAGCAAATATTCCAATAAATTTTCTATTCATGAATGTTGAAAAACGTTTCTTATCCATTGGAGAATTTTCTTCTGAACAGTCTGGCATTGGAATTAATAAATGGAAGCTACCATGAAGAAAAGGCACATACAATGTATGAAACTCTATCATCATTCGACTGTAGAAACAGATTATTTCAACTAAAGATCAATTCAACTAAAAGGTCAGACAACGAAGAGAACAGAAAGGTCAGAATATAAAAAGAAAAAAAAGTGAGATAGCAAAGAGAAAAAAAGGTGTTGCTTAGGGCATTGTATTTGTCAAATCGATGACGTTCTCTCGATTTTGAGATGTTGTATGCAGGCTACGCGAAAGTGTTTATATACGAATGACAGGTTAGAGTCTTTTTTCAATGTAGCAATAGATCTCACAAAGCACCAGTACTGAAAAAAAACGAAGTTTTAAGTCTTGTTTTTTGTATCTTTTGAATGAACAAAAGGTCACTACAAATTCATTATAAAAAACTATTCATCAATTCTAACTAAAATATTTTCGTCTTTTTATTCTTTGCGGTTAAGAATTCTTTTATAATTTCATTATTACTACGCAATTTAAAATTCACTTTCAATGTTCAGCAATTGAAGTCCTGACATACGATCTTGTCCTGTTATGTTTCGAAGATGGGTTCAGATTTTCCTTGATAATGAAAAGCTTCTTTCATGTTCACATCTATTCATAGATATGATCCATAGAACTTTAAACAAGATATTCATCATTGTCGATAAAGAAATGTTCCAATGATTTTTCCGAAATAATGATGCCATTTCAGCGAAGGTTTCTTGCGAATTAGTCATCTTTGTTTTAGATAAACCTTGTCCGCCAGTTAGATCATCATTATTCAATACATACTTGAGTAAATACCGCTTGTCTCAAGATGCCTCCTTGAAGGATGTGTGTGTGAATGTGGAGCTTTTATTCATTTACACCCACACCCACACCCACATGAGAGCACTTCTTCACGTACTTTAGACAATTTTTTAAAGCTCACAGAGAGTTAAGGTTCGAAGCAAATGAAGGGTGTGGGTGTGTCGATGTGGGTGTGGTTGCGTCGGTGCCTGGTTTATACGAGTACCCACACCCCATGTCTACAGACGCCCACACCCACACCCACACCCTTTTCAAACAAATAGGGTTATCGATAATTGATTTTATATTCTAAATTATTGAAGCATCGTACCAAAGTCAAGGTCCACTGCTAAAATCACACTGGGAAATGCATGAATAAAATCCATCGACTTGACCGAGTCGATAAATATATGTCGATGCATATATACTCATTTATTATCTTGATTAGTTAAATTTCACCAATAGAAACGCTTGAAAAAATCTGCAATAAAATCGACAAGCATCGTTAGACATTTACCATTTTTTTACCAAAGATTATATTCTAAGTAGGCTCGGCGAGTCTCGGATCTCGGATTGGGCGTCATTTTCGATAAAATCATACCATATTGAGAGAGGTTAAAAATCGACTTTTTTTGCGCCAGACGGATCAAGCTGAAATTTTAGGATATGAATTATGACTAATACTTACACATCTTGTGAAAGTTTCATCTTCATACATATAATGGTTGCAGAGATATTT